TATAAAATAAAGTTTATTATTATTATTATAATATCCATTTTATCTATGCTTGCAATTAGTTGAAATAACTTTTTTTTTCCTCAATAGGTTCAGAATTATGAACTTATTGTTGTTTTTAATCATATTATAAATTATATTTGTCCTAAGTGATTTGTTTAACCATTTAGGATACGTTTTTTTTTTTTGCCAAGAACCAACCAATATATCTTTAAGGGACATCCTACAGGAACAGCTGATTTTATTTAGGGCTTATCAGAATCACTTCAGTTGATGTCAGATGAGGGCAGATTACCTTTGTACATGATTTTGAATGTGATTGGTTAACTCTGAACACAGTTAAAACCCCCTTTATAAAGTGTGTGCAGACTTATGCAACAAAGTTATTTTTCCTAAAAATTATCCATTTGTTTTTCACTTAAATATTGTTGGTTACAAGATCTTATTTAAAGTGAAAAAGGTCTGACATGATTTGTCTTGATTTTAGTCTTTTCATCAACAAAAGCTTAAATTTCAATAAGTGTGTGATATCCACTGTATTATTGCATTTTTTAGAACATCTTATGACAATTCTGACTTGTTTGCAACAGGTTTATGACTGTTAATTCTTTAAGATGTATGTTTATTTGTAATCATCCTTTATTTAACAAGATAAATTAGTTACAATGATGACCTGGTCAAGACTCTCTTAGTATCATTACATAGATGTCAAAGCCTTTAAAGAAAGCAAAGAATCAATAAAATTGAAAGAGCTTTATAGGACATGATAATGTTAACAAGTGCAAAAGTCAGTTAGGAAAGATTTAGATCATCTTCTCCTCAATGGGATTAACACGCGGTATTCTGTAGTTATTAGCTGTATGTCACATACCCCTGTGGATCTATACAATTTTGCAATGTTTCTGTCTATGTAATAGACATTATATGCTGTATTTAAGTGAACATTGGTATTCACTTAAACTTTAAGAGGACACAACAAACTCATATTACACTGGCAAAACATGCCCCCAAGCTTAAAGCCTAATGCTAATCCCAAAGGAGTTGACTGAACTCATGTACTCTTTAAATACCCAAGTACATAATGGGATACCTGACAGTTTTATTCACATCAAAGCTCAGGCCTGGTGTGTGTGTTTTTGATAATTACCAATTTGAGGTGTGTAAAGGAGGCTGTAGAGGGAGAAGGCACTGTTCACAGTATTTCAGCAGCTGCTGAATTTTGTTAGAAACAGAATTTGGACTTCATATCTGAACTGCATTTAGATCCAGCTGATACAGCAATGAATAATTTACATTCTGATTCCTTACCTATGAGTGTATTTTTAGAAAATTGAATTATTTATTTAAAGAAGAGTTTAATTCCACAATGAAAGTGAAAAGAAGGATGAAAGAGATCGGGACTGTGGCACAAAGGGGAGGGGTAGGAACATAAAAGAAAAAGGAAGAATAGGGTTAGGCAAATGTGAAAAGGGAGCTAAAGAGATAGGAATCTGGCCATTGGTTTTAGGGGAAACATAGAAAGCAGCTATCTGTAATAAAAGAAGATACTTGAAAGAAATTAGTCAGTTCTTTTTTTAAATCTCATGAAGTTTTATATTTCCCAAGTACACCTCATGTAGCCTGTATTAGGTGCATAATTAACCTAAAGTGCCTACACCCTAGCTAGCCATTTCATTTGCCAAAGTGTTTTGGTAGCTGGACCCTGTTTCTGTAAGACGTGCTATAATATAGACCTTTACCAGCATCAGTTAACGCAATATAGCTGTCCTCCCCCTTAAACCTGAAACCTGATAGAAGCCAACCTTTGACTTTGGGATGTACTTGTCACAGTTAATTATGATCTCTAGAAAAGCCTTTATAAAGTATTCTCTCAGTGCTCTACCATATAATGCCTTAAGGACGGCAAGTTCTGAAGGACCTGCACTGCAAGACAGCCTTGTGTGCTAAGTTAAATTAAGCACATTAGAACTTAATTGTTTTAGAGAGACGATTGTTGTACCCTTAAATTTAATTTCCCTGTTTTTTCAATTGTTAATCCCTTCCAGGTGAAAGAATTTGACTCTGTCTCTCGCTTGGATCAGTGGCTGACTACTATGCTGCTTCGTATCAAGAAGACCATCCAGGGAGATGCAGGGGACCTCAAGTGAGAAGCTGGGAGAGCCTGTGGCATGCCACCACCTTTTAATTCCTATTTCTTTGTGCAGTGGCCTGTGAATAATTCGGAGTTCACAATATTTTCAGTACTCATCTGCAATTATAGTAAATCCGTTGCATTTTAATCTTTATTTTCAACAGAAATACATAGTCCGAAAAAAGTCCAAATCCCTGTTATGTAACTAGTTTCGTCTCGTTTTTCTTTTCTTCAGTGGGATACATTTAACTTACCTTTACATTTTAGGGTAGTGTAAAATGTTTTACAATAATTAAAACAAAGGACATTCCAAAAATAAACTTAAAAATGTTGGGAGGCTTTTCACTTCTCATATAACTACTGGTGTTATTATATGGTACTAGTGCAAGTCTTGCGTGATGTACAGTTGTAATTATTTGATAGCTGGAGTGGGAATAATCAGTATATTTTATATTTTAATATATATTTAAAATGAAGAACACAGGTTTTGTCTTTATGTTGAACAAAGCACTGTAGATAAGGGAAGTTGATTTTTACTTTTCACTTTAGAATTGTTTAGTATGGTCTATTTGTAGTTTCATTTGAAAGGATGAAAAACAAGGAATTTAGAAAGTTATAAGCAACAACAGTACCTTTGACTTAAATGTGATCGGAGAATCCTAAAATTGCATGCTCTTCACGCAATGTTGGTTCCTATTGTTTTCAGTGCAAACATTTCACTGTTGTATCATTGTTATAAAAGAAAAGTTATCATTTTGTGGTATTTGTAGTAAGAAGAAATGATGTGGATCAGTAAAGCTGGCTTTCAACAGCAAGTACAACTGTAACTCATGACTGGTCATTATTATTTTTAGTGAAAGCATAATAATGCAGCTTTGAGTGCAAACGTATATAAATGCCAGAGTCATGGTATCAATGTTTTTGCAAGAACAACTACATTTTAAAACCAACTCACACTCTGTGATATGTCCAAGAATATAAATATTTTTGGGCGTATGATATTCATGAACATCTAAAATCTGGTGTAAAACAAAATATTTTACTGAAAATTCAGGACATTAGATTACTGATTCAGTAGTTTGTAAAGGTAACTGTATAACGCACTCATTGCTAAAGCATTGAGAAGCACAGAATGTTACCAGAAAAAAAAATTGCCAAGTTGAAAAATCAGTTTAAATGGTTAAAATCTTAAGAAATACTTAAGATTCATTGTAAGAAGTGACATAGTACTATGAGACAATAGTACTAGAAAAGGATGTTAATGTCCTGTGTCAAGCAATTTAATATTTTTTTTTCATAAAGTATACCCTAAACAAAAGTTAAGTTTTAGTACTGGGTGTATGGGTTTTAGTGGACACATTCCGGAATGTTTCTTCTCTATGGGTAGATGAGAGTTGATCTATTTGTTTACTAGTCTCCACAGTTGAAATGTTAAACCTGGTGTTTCTTCCCACTGTGATATTCTTATTTTGATTATTACAGTATGTATTTCTACCACATGAGATTTGTTTTCTGGTGATAGATGTTACATATTTATGGGTCTTTTGTTTACTGTGAAGAGCAATGATTTTTTATTTTGCTTCTGCTTAGTGATTTGCAATTCTGTTACTGAAATTATAAAGTATTTTTGCACAGATGTGAAAGAAAATGCATACAAATCCCTTTTGGTGTTGTCGGTGCAAAGGAATTAATGTCAACTATAACCTGTTTAATGTACTTAATGTCTTAATGTGTTGTGGATTAATGTGTTATCTGTTATAGAGAGCAACCCAGTGTTTTACCTTTAAATGTATAGCATGTTGTCACTATGTGTAGTGCAAAATGTTGTGAAGTGAAACAAAAGCTGTTATAAAGAAATCAATGAAAAGAGACAATCTACCTGCCTATCAGTTTGTTGTTACCTGTTATGTAATTGAAACATGTAAACTAAGTGGCTGGTCTCTTCTGTATCTATTATTCAATGTCAGTTTATTCTGAACTGTACAATAATAAAATTAGATCAACACTGTTTCATTTTTCTTTATATGATTAAGTATAATACACTATGTGATGCTTTCACTACAACCCCTTATTGTAGAAATTAATTGGGCTGGATAGCTTGAACTACCATCAAACCTTAGAAGACTTGCCTAATAGTGCTCTAGTTCAATTGTCTCTGGTTACATTTTCCTCCTTTGAAAAAATCTAAGAAAAAAGATGCTTCGATTAAAGTAGAAGATGATTAAAAGGTGTACTGTATAGGGCAACTGTTCAACCTGAATTATTTTCAGAGCACTGAGACATTCTTTGAATAATTGTTTTTTTTATTGTTGTATTTTATAAGTTGTTGTTTATAGATTGAATTACTTTATTAACCAAGTACCCTTGAAGACAAAATACACGTTGCAATAACACTTGGATCACTTGCTAAGAATCGCCATTCATTTACAGGTAGTCTTCTACTTTCCTCCTGGAATTCATCTCCCAGATTTATGTCTGTTGGAGACTCATTTTTCATCCTCCCTTACCCATTCCCACTCTCCCTTAATTCTCCCCACTTATGATGGATCCATATCCAAGTTATTTTTACATTTAGGTTTAAAATTAAATAACCTTTTGAATTATGTAAGATGCATGACAATTCTTAAACGGTCATTCTTTGGCCTTCTTGTGAAAATGGCAAAAACAGTAAAATTAGCAAAACTTCAAAAAAAGTTTAAATTAAATATATACATTTCTATCTACTGAAAAAAATGAACAACTGGCCTTATTAAATGAAGACTGCATCTGCCAAATTAACTACTGTTACCTTAATCACTGGTAGTATTTTCTGCAAGTCTCACAAACTTCACATAAACAAACCATTGTATAGTCTCAATCTTAGAATAATTATGTCCACATATAACTCTTTCTAGTTTAAATTATACTACATGAGTACTGTCCTGCTTCCTTGTACTCAATGGATTATTGGAATAAAATGGAGTTCAAATTACATTTAAATTGCAGCAACATTAAAATGTGGAAGCATCTTTATTTATTGAGGCTTTGGTGTAAATTTGAAAATCATGGGAAACTATTAGGTAGAAAAATATATTTTGAAAAGTTTGAATAAAAGGAATTTGAGCAATCTTGTTTCAAAGGAAAAAAATCCAGCATACAAAAAAATCTAAGAAAATACAACATTTCTAGATGCACTGTCTCTAACGTAAAGTTTGGTACAATTTATTCATATCTATTCCAGTGAATTATTTACCAGTATTATTACAGCAAGTTCAGCACTGAATCCAGTGACATCAAAATATTTCTGTACCTTATTTTATTTTTATTTTCAAATTACAATACAGAATGGCATTATAATGGAGTAATACTTTCCAGAAATACTTGTCAGAATTAACTGAAACCTAACATTCAACTGAAGTGGACACATAGATCCAATATCAATATTTACACTACAGCCATTTAAAGCATTTAATTTAAACATCTCTTCATGTGCACTTGACAGATTTTTAAAAGATTAAAGCTAATTTCTCACTGTTAATCAGTTTACAAAAAAAGATATTACATGAAATACCAACAACAACAACACCACACACTGGATTCCTTATTGATTTTTTTTTTTACATTTTTACATGTAAAGTATTTTTTACAAAAAAAGATCCCACTGAAATATGCTTTGCAGTTTACATCCTTCAGTTTCCAGACTTATGTCAAATGAGCTCTTTGTCTGAAGTCTAAAAACACATAAGCATATGTATACATTTCAGATAGTATATATTTACCTTATTTTCCCCCTTTGTCTTTCATTTCAGGTATAATCTATTAACAACCATCTATTAACACTTAGATGCTTTTTCCCGGTGAGGGTAATGGCAACTTGGAGCAAATCTCAGAAGCACAGTGTGCAATGCAGGACTAAAACTTTGATGAGCTTGTCATAGTACACACATACAGAGAGAATTCAGAAACCCAGCCAGTGCATTTAGAAGGTGGAAGGAAACTATAGCACACTGAAAAAATCCATGTTAGCAGAGGGAACATGCAAAGTCCACACAGATGGAGTCAGTCTATAATTGAAACCAGAACTCAAGAGATTCCAGACAGCGGTATTATGTACCGCTTATTTAAAAAAAAAAATCACACACCATTTGTTCAAAAATTAAGCCAGTGATAAGGGACTGGGAATGCCTAACTACACTATGATTTAGTAGACTTATTTTGTTAATCAAATAGTAGTATTATTGTGTTTAGTACAGGTAAAGATCTAATAACCTTCAAAGAGGTATTTCACTGTAAATAGGTGTCTGTTAAACAAAAGCATAATAACAAAATACTAATTTTATTTTGGTAAAATTAGGGATGTTTAGTTGATCACAATTGTTGTTCTTTTACAATAGAAAAAAAAACCCACAGGACTGCCTTACAAGAAGAGAATACTGAAAAGACTGCAGGTGTTTCTGCATGCCACAAAAAAATAAATCTGTTTCTCACCAGTAACAGGTGGGAATTATGCAAAACAACAATGTAAATGTAACTTTAATTTAAATTGATCCGAGTGTTGATGAAAAAATGCAACATTTATTCTAACACAGCTCTTCGACGACAAAAACATTATGCATCTTGTAGGGAAGAACTAGCGACATTTTCTGATGAAATTTCCATGGCTTCAACACTTATGTTCTCAGTCATATTAAGGCTGGAGGCTTCTGCGGTAATGGGGATTGAAGAACTGCCAGGGGTCTGTTCAGACATCTCTGCTGCGATAGTTATGTCACTGGAGACGGGGGTACACACTGAAACAGGAACTGAAACAGGGCAAGCAACTGCAACAGGATTTTCTATGGAGACAACTGTGAAACCACCAAGCGATGCATGGCTAACCACTGCAATGGCTTGACCATTGGAGCTCCAATCTGCAGCGATGGACACGGGCAAGGCCTGCTCAGTCACAGCTTCTGTGCTCACATTTGCTTGACTGAGTGCACTTTGACTAACAATGGCTTCTGAAATCGGCACTACCTTGTCCTGCTGTTTACTCACATCCATGTTACCTTGTTTCATTCTTCTCTTGTGGCCACTTTCCACATTCCCCTCCAAAACTACCAGATAGTTCTTCCATGGGGTTTCCTTGTCATGAGTCTGTTGATAGAAACAAACCTATTGTTTAAAGACAGTGACCTTTTCTCTATAATATATTCCAGGTTGTCATTGCAAAATAGAATTTGTTCTTAATTGTTTTAATATGGTGAAGAACCTCTGGGAATTCTCAAGGGATGATTCTCGATTTATATCAATGATCTAGATTCTGGTGTTGTGAATTAGTCATGTAAGCAAATTATACTAAATTAGGATGTTTAGCAAAAGCTGTAGAGATGCAAAGGAAATTCTTGAAGATTTCAATCAAATTCAAGTCTGGGCAAACATCTGTCAGATGCCATTTTAACGTAGATAACTCCATCCACCCATGTCATCAAATTCAGGGTGGCAGAGGATACTAAGAGTGTCCCAGCAAGCACTTGTCGTAAGGCAGGCTACACCCTGGACATGACGCCAGTCCATCACAGGGCACAAACAGACACAGACAAGAACACATTAGGGCCAATTGTCCCAGAAGCCAATTAACCTACTAGTATGGCTTTGGATTGTGTGTGGAAACTAGAGCACCCAGAGGAAATCCACATGAACACGATAAGAACATACAAACTCCACTTACTAAACACCACAGGTCCAGAATTGAACCGTGGTCCCTAGTGCTGTAAAGCACCAATGATAACTGCACCACCGTATCACCCCTTAAGTAACTCATCAGACAGAATTTAAATCAGGGTATTTTAGAATTATACATTACATTAGTAAGATCTCATGTAGAATATTGTGTACAACTCTGGTCGTGATTTAATAATAAATAAATCAGTGCTCCAGAATCAGGTTAGAAAAGAGTGACCAGATACATTTCTGGGCTAAAATTAATTACTTACTCTGTTAGGCTTATATTTCTAAATCTTTTTTTGTTTTAAAAGGATCCAAATATCCAGTGCTAAATTCAGTACTTTATTCCACTGAATATTCAGAATCCTGCAAGACATTAACAGAGTTAAATCCCAGCGGACATCTTCCGAATCAAGAGTGAAACACACATCAAAGCACAGAAACTAAGGGGAATTGCTTTTAAAGCTTGGAAGAGGAGGCACATCTTCAGATAAGGTGTTGTGGGAATCAAGAGCAAGCTACACAGTCATGTTATGAAAACTGTTGCCATTACTTCATTACAGAAATGCTTGGATGAGATTTTTGGATGAATTAACTACTAGAAGACAAACATGATGGCCCAGATGGCCTCCTTTCATTTGAAAAACTGAAGGTTTTTATATTTAAGACCTTAACTCTAACCCAAAACACAAACCCGAATCTCACCCCATTACTAATAATGAATGTTCCAGCAATAAGATGTAATATCAGACTCTTAAGAAAGAAAATGAGATACTTGACTCAATTCCAGTATAAAAGACAAATGAGGTATTGGAAAGAAATGTCTAACTCAGTTTAACCTCCTACACCATTGTGCAACACAGGACACAACTGTTGTTAAGTTACAACAATTTGTAAGTAAACTATAGCTTTATATGAAAACTTAAAATTTCACAGATAGCTATACTCTTATCACAGTAGTTCGGAGAGCTGGTCCTGGAGGAAAATTGATAATTTTAATTCCAAGTAATCTCCACATCTTAAGTGCTAATTTAAGTTTTAATTGATCTGCTTGCTTGTGTACTCTTTTAACTTGTTTCGTTGGTCAGTTGTAAGTGTCAGAAATACTCTTCTTTCATTGTTTATTTGGCAACTCCTTAACTTGCAAACTGTTGATGGATTTCTGACTAAGCAGCTCTTACTACTTGATCATTTTATGATGGACAGACGCAGAAAGGAAAGACACTCACACAGTGAGCATTTTTCCTTCTGAAGTGGTCCAATTTGAGGCAATTTGAGGCATTTGAGGCAACACACCTGAGTGAGGGTAGTTCTCAACTCAGAAATTCATACGAGGTTGCTACCAATTCCAAATCATGTTGACCTTTTAAGAGGTGAAAGCAAATCTGTAAATATGCCCTAAAAAGAATACTGAAATCAGCCTGCGATTAAGAACTTTGCTGAAACAAAAATGAGAAGAGACACGATTCCTCCAGGAACAGGGTAGAGAAGTGATCTTACCATAGTATGTCTCCGAACAGTAGATTTGTCTGTGAATGTTCGGCGGCATAGCAAGCACATGTATGGCTTCTCTCCCGTGTGGATACGGTGATGACGCTGCAGAGCGTTGAGCTGAGTGAACTGCTTTCCACATTGGTCACAGCAGTATGGACGCTCCCCTGAAACCATAGATCATAGCACAGGTGTTACAGGCCAGTATGAATCCTGACAAAACACTCACCCTCAGTCATAGCAATAGTGTACATGGATTAACAGCAGGAACACTGGTTCCCACATTGGTTTTCCATTTGAAATTACACTGTATAGTAAGTCCCAATATAAATATGTAATTTCTTCTTAACACAGCAATTTATGATTTATCATTACGTATGATACCACCATTATCTTCTTTTTCAATAGTTACCTAAAGTGATTGTTTTACATATTGAGAACAGTACAGTATATGGTATCTTATTTTCATATGGTTTGATATTTATATTTTGACGTATTACCTGTATGCACTTTCATGTGCTGGTGGAGTGAGTTTCTTTGTGCAAATGCCCTAGAACAGACTTCACATTTAAATGGCTTGGAACCAGTGTGGATTCTAGCGTGGTGTTTTAAGTACTCCTTGGAAGCAAAGCTCTTTCCGCAGTTCTCACACATGAATGGTTTCTCTCCTGTGAAGTAAAAGGTACAGTAAACACAAAATTTAATAGGACAATTATTTTCCACTTTGGATTTTAAATCCCTAAATGTACATAGTCAATATTATATTACCAACAGTGATTTTCTCATATATCACTCTACCTGTATACATTATGGTTGTGACACTTGTTTAGTATTCATTTACTTTGCAGAATAAATACTAAACTGAATTTACATTTAACAAGAATCATTCTCTACAGTGAGTGCAGATAACATGAAATTTGAAATTCCAAGAGTTTAACCTCACAAATGAACAAGAAGGCTCCACAGCCGAAACGTGTTTTCTTTCTTCTCTTTTCTACATAGAATAGACCTATTACTTGTTCCTTTACAATACTATACTATTATTATTTGATTTGACAGGAGTCTAAAATACTCAGGCACCATCAACATTTCTGTTTGGAAAAGTAATTTAGTTCTAGTGATGACAGATACAAAACAATTTACCTATAAATCATGAATTAGTAAAGGTTACTACAATAAAAACACACTGGATGAGCTTGTTACTTATAAAAACAAACAAAATTAAAGTAATATGGGCCAAATGGCTTCCTTTTAAAACCTTTGTGATGTTTTATAAAGTGCTTGACCTCACACTTTACAATAGCTGTATAATGCTTTTACATTCTAAGCATTTTACCTGAGTGACATCTCTTATGGTAGGCAAGCATGTGGTTTTGCGTGAATCGAGCACCACATTCATCACAGGAAAACGGTTTTTCACCAGTGTGGGTTCTATAGGAAAAAATGAATTAAAGAGGTAGATTTTCAATTCCCTACAAGCATATAAATATATGATGAAATCTTAATTAATGTTATATAAAACAGCAAAATGAATCTGATGTGGAAGATGAAAAAGCTGTGCAAGCTTACTGTATATTCAAATTCCAATTGGCTATATTGACTTGATCAGTTAAGGAAAGTTTCTTTCCTTAAACTTCAACATTTTTTAAATGAACAAAATAAACAATAGGATTATTCCAACAAACTTGGCTCGTTCTTGGTCTTTTTTATTTTACATGAGTTTTAACAAATATGCTAACAACGCAGTATTTTAATCTGGCATAAGCACAATTTAATTTACAGTGAAAGCCATATGATTGAAAGATTACGCAATCTCCATTTTCATGAGGCTCAGGCATCTTTTAGACCAGGCTTTAGAAAATCTAATTCACAGCATACTACAACATCAAACACTGTACTTCATACTAAAATCCCCCAGAACCATACCTGCGGTGTGTCTTGAGCGCGGATGTCTGGGAGAATTTGGCTTTGCAGTCTGGACACTCATATGGGCGGTCTCCAGTGTGAGTTCTCTCATGAAGCATGAGAGCTGTCTTGGAGCTCAGTGCCTTCCCACAGATTTGACAGTAGTGCCTCTCTCCACCTCCCTCGTGCACCTGCCGAATGTGCCTCTTCACATCCTTCTTGCGCTTGAAAGCCTTGTTGCAGACGTCACAGGGGTAAAGCCGCTCGTCACTGTGGACATGACGCTCATGGATTTTCAGGTTGCAACGGTTAGCGAATGTCTGATTGCAGGTACTACAGCGATAGATTACTTCCGGCATTACACCATGGCTCTTTTTGATGTGTTTAAGATAGCTCTTCTCATATTTAAATCCCCGCTGACATGTTTCACACCTGAACAACCCACCCCGCTTCTTCTTTTCACCATCTTCCAGGTCCCCGTCATTCTGGTTTTCACCAATCTCAAAGTCCACATCATAGAAATCGTCTTCAACAGGATCCTCATCTTCATTATCAGCCACATCGGATTTCTCAGCGGCTTCCGCGGCTTCCGCTGCTCCGGTAACGTTAGCACAAACATCTCCTTTCCCGTTTTCCCTGTCATCCGTTTTTTTCACCCCAGTTTTATCAGTAATGTCCACTGTTGGAGGTTGGCCTGACAGCTCATCTGCCACCCCCTGCTGGTCCTTCAACTTTCTGACATATTTTTTTTTAGGAATGTCTACGAACACTTTGCGGCCTGCAAGCCTTGAACTTAACCTCCTGCTCTTCATTTGCTCATCTTTCTTCTGCTCCCTTTTCTTTTCTATTTTCTGTGCCGTATTTGCTTTCTCATTCCCAGTCGCTACAGTACTTAATGCCAGTTCCAGGGGGTTTTCTTTTAGAGGAAGCAAACCTTCTTTTGTGCCAGCTTCATTTTCGACATTTTGTGATAGGTTGTTTGCTTGTATTCTACTTGCTTCCTGTAAATCAGCAGGTTTCAACTCATTCACCTGCTCGCAGGTATCCACCAAATCCTGGCATTGCAACAGTTTCGCAATCTCGAGTATGTTGCCAACTCTACCCTTTTCAACTTGTACTCTGGAGGTGTAGACAAATTCAAGGAAGCAGGTGAAATCAGTAGCTTCCATTTGCTGCAAGCAGACTTTGGAAGATTTCCCGTTCACCTCATCTTCACTGAGGAAAAGCTCTTTGAAGAACTTACTGGTTGCTGCTAGCACCGTCCGGTGGGCTTCAAACTCCTCCAGTTCACCGTGGAAGTCCACTTGAATGGTAACATCACATAACTGTCTTGAGAGCCGCAGTCTGTGCATCTCATTCAGCACATTTTTATGGTAGGACTCTGAAGTTAGCTGAACGAGAGTGTTGCTCATGTTTTGTCACTTCTGGTTATAAGTAAAAAAAAATCAAACTTGTTAAAAAGTTCATGTTTACTGTAAAGCAAATGTAAGTTTGACTACCTGCCATATTCCGTTTTCTATAGAAAATGTTTTCTATTATTCCAAAACTCTTTCAATGCATATGCATTCATAATATGAAAGCAAGCATATGCTAATCAGCTTGTTGACTGAAGATCTTAAACCTAACAAAACCAAACATTTATCAAACTGTTTAAGACATTGTGGATTAGAATGTCTTTCAAATTAAACTATGTGATCAATTATATTTTCCAGACTGGTACCACGAACAACATCATGCTGAAAAGAGATGTAATAAGTATGTAACGTTATGTGTGAAATATATGAGAAAATGTAGTATTAACGATCTATTTCAAATAACATCCAGTTGCACTGAAATTAGAAAAGTTCAAGTCAATAACGTACCAGTTTTTAACTCAATGTTGAATCGCAAAAACCCTAATAATATGTTAGTACTACCTTTACGTTTTTACTTTGTTATATATAGTTTCTTTATTTTATGGGTTTTGTAATTATTTTTAGAGCAAACGTTTAAACTAATTTTCACTAAACCCTCGGATACAGGTAACTAGGTAATGTATGATGCTGTTTCATGCGTGCCTGATGAGATTTAGCGATATTTGATGTCACAATTACCTGTAATACTGATTGGACCTGCAGCGTACAAAATAACCAGCGCAGTAATGGTTCAAAAAAGCGATTCCTTAAACATTAAAACAAGCTGGATATCGCCCAGCAAGAATTTACAGCCTTACGTAGAAATCATAAAAGTGGTAACTGCAAAGTTGAGGAGTGTTTTTCACTTGAAAAGCATAATGTCATATTCTGTTATCATAATTATTTTAAAGCGGCGCAACATCATAGTATACACGATTACTTTGGATTATTATTAAACATAAGAACACTTTTTATTTTTATTGCAGCTTATACATTGTATCTAATTCATATCCTCCTGTTTTTTTTATATTGCTACATTATCCAAAACAATGGCTTATTGTTAATGCTTTAAAAGTTACAGGTGCAACTTAAACGAATCTCACTTCACCCGTTAGTTGACAACTACAAGCTACAGTGCATATAAGTCCAGTAAACGAAGACCAAATGAAACTGAACCCAGCAAATACAAAAGGGCGACATTACCTATATCATTGCATCTGCAGTTGTAGCAGACAAAAAAAACGTTTCAAGTCCACAGGCCTAAAACTTTGGGCATGCATCAACACAAAATCCTTCATATTTCGCAAATATTAAATGAATCCATTGCTCATTCTAATCTGTTGCCAATTGTAAATAAAACTTTTCAGTTCTTTTTTAAAGAGCAAACCATGACGTTGCTCTTCTGTCAAAACAACAATAGTAGTAAAATCTAGGATTTCAAGTCTGAAATATTTTGCAACCTCAAGTCACTTTTAGAAAACAAAATAATCATCGCATAACACTGGTAGCAGCGAAAAGATTATGCCCTCTAGAAGTACTGGGAGCACATTTTTGATTTTCGGTTTCTTACCGTAAGCTCGGTAAAATGGCAGCCCATCACAATCTTCAGCAATACCATTAAGTGTATTTCCTGTAAAAATTGCACCCAGAACGCCTTGGTGCCTTTATGTAGCAGCCATGTTGGAGATGGTAATGTGAGGTAACGCTGCGAGTGCTTTCCAAACATGGCTGCGAAAGATTGGAGAAAGGCGGAGTGGGGTTAAAAAAAAAGCTGTTCAGGAGCCAACTATACATTTCTTTGAGCAGATCGCGGAAAATAATAGTGATTGTTGATTTTCTACATACATGACCCCACTTCGAAGAAACAAAAGTTAATCTATTACTAACTAGTACTATGTGCTGATATATGTTTTAGATTTATAGTCAGGGTTTATTGTGTAATGTGAAAATGGAAATGTAAATTCTTAGATTTGCCTTTATGCCTTCTTACACCATAAGCTTACTTTATGAAATCGACGTTTTTCTTTGAAACGGCATATCCTGTCTAATATGACTACTTGGTCTCCACTCCATATGCAGTAGTGGGTTTTGAGAAGCCTCTTTCATTGATGGTTTTACTCAAATTATGCATTTAGCATAGCAAACATTGATTTAAGAAAAACAAAATAATCACTCTCGACAAAGTATTGAAGACAATTTTAATTTGTTGAATAAATCACATTACACAGACATGTTCCAACTCCAGCATAGTGCATTTAAAATAGTGACATTTTTACCACTTCTAATTTATCATGAACATATCACAATTATTTTACAAAAAACACCAGAATAAAACTTTTGTTTTCAACTTTAAGTTGTTTTTTTTCCCCCATTGGAGTTGCAAAGAAAAAACACCACAGCTGTGTTCGTTACATTTTCGTAAGACTAATACTGTATGTCCAAGACAAGAATTCAAGTTCAACTCAGAATAACGCATTTACTGTGCTGTCATATTCTTTTGCTTAGAGAAGGCATGTTTTTTACAGTCAGGTTTTAAGAATTAACATTAGACAAACTGTTAATAAAAAACCTGTTCCCATTTAATCAGGAAAATGCAGTGCACTCCAAAAGTATTGGGACAGCAAAGTAAAAGCTGTTTTGATTTATAATCAAGCAATATGCATTTGCAATCAAAAGATTAATATTTATAAATATAATACTTTTGGTTTTCCCATACATTTAGTCATATTAGAACAAAACATACTTTGTATTCAACCCAGTGATTTCAAGCATTGCAACACAATTATATTATAAATATAATTCAGTGTGTAAAAATCAGTATTTTTCTGCCTAAACTTCTGAGGCAATAACTGCCCTCACCCCATTAAGTTCACCAGACTCTGTGTGTAATCATTTGAGATGGTTTTCTACAGCCATTTTTGAGTACTTGCCTAATCTTGGGAGTGATCCGACGTTAATAATTTCAGGTGGAAAAAAAATTCCAAAGTTGCCTCACTGCAATTCTGTGTTATAGGAACTAATAAAACATAAATCATAGAACAGAACATTATGACATGTACTCTTTAAAATTGATTCATAATTAGAAATTGTGGACTTGTCAAACCTAATAAGGTTGCAAAATAGTACTAAAGCTACTTAATTTTTCAAATTGCTCTGTTAAGCAGTCAATTAAGTCTCAAAAAGTTCACAATATTTTTCAGAATTTATACATTGGCAGAATTTGGCCTTTTTAGGTAAAAAGGTAATATCCTAAGAAGCTGAAGACTGAAATAGATTAAAAATAAGCACCTCTTTATGCACAATGTACAATTCACTACATTTATCAAATTATAAAGCTATTTAAATTTCTGTGAGAGTAGAAATATAGTATTTTAGAATTGCAAGCTACTATAGTGCTATGTATTATGAAGTGTTTGAACACTGGGAATTCTGTTTGAGAACTGCATGACGTTTTTCATTTTTGTTTTTTTCTTGTTCTTCATGGGCTTGTTTGAGGATGTCAGCAAAATCCTGATTAACAGGGCTGTCCTCTACATAGGCACCTCCAAATGTTTCTATCTTGGACCAGTTGTGATCCTTTTTTGTGGTGAGATCAATCACATAGGTTCTCCACTGTGCCTTTCTGTCATGAACCTAAAGATTCAGGATTAAAGAGGAAGACAGTTAGATTTGCAACTGCAGAAACGAGACAAAATGAGAAATGCAATGTTCAACAACAAATGTCAAAGCGTTTAAGTCACCCAGCTATGTTCAAAATCTATTTTTTGTTTAATAATCAGGAGCACAGACTGACAAAAGTATCTGTAGGCTATAAACAATAAAGAACATCTGCTGTAGTGATAAGGTAAAGCACAGCTTTACTACACTGTTGTTTGGCAAAGCAACTGTAAAAACCTGAGGAATACATAAAAAAGGTCATGTTTAGAAATACGTTCAACAGATATTTTTTTAGAAAAACTGAATTTCATCCAGGGCTGGCACATTGATTAGCACTGATGCCTCACAGTGCAAGGGTCCTGGGTTCAATTTCAGACCTGGGGTGCCATCTGTGTGGATTGTGAATGTTCTCCCCACGTTCACATGGGTTTCCTCTCACAGTCCAATAACCTACTGGTAGGTTAATTGGCTTCTGGGAAAATTGAACCTGGTGTGAGTGTGTACATGTCTGCGTGTCTGCCTTGCAATGGACTGACGTCCTGTCCTGGCTGTATCCTGCTTTGTGCCTGTTGCTTGCCAGGATAGGCTCTGGCTCTCTACGACCAAGAATTGGAAGAAGCACTTATAGAATTGGTGAAAGAATGTCAGCCAACTTTAGAAATGGACCACATGCTAATAGACATTACATAGAAAGTATTGCAGGTGGGTATATGTTCTAAGGTTTTTGAAGTTGTCACATTGCTGAGACAGGCCGACAGGATATAGAATTCCACACACCCTTCACTGCTTTTATCTCCGATTTGAAACTGAATGTTGGCCACAGTAGGGATTGACCTGTGTTGCTGTGTGTTTGTTGGTAAGGCTTTTGAGACTAATAACAGTTGTACCGCGGTAGTACAATCTTCTGACTACAAACACTAGTAGCTCAGTACCCAGAATTCCTTCAGGCAGTCCATCTAAGAATTCTTCCAAACTAACAAAACTGAAAGGTGAGAACGGCCTCTCACTTACTGAACAGTATATCTGCTTACATGCAAGTGGCAGAGCATTCAAACAACCTGTGGGCTTGAGGATGCTTATTTAATTAAAAAAAAAACTTAATAATGCAGAAAAAAGAAATACAATATTTATGTTGTTAGAGTGGGGATCTGTATCTGCCTGTAAGCTGAGATGGAGCATGTAAAAAGTAATGCTGTACCACGCTGAAAAGTAAAAATGAAGAAAACATGTTTTGGATGTGGAGGTGATTGATTTATATAAGTTAATGCTTAAATTGTGCCTAACTGAAGCTTCAGTCCATTATTTCTATTAGCAGAAAACACAAATAGATTTATGTTATGCCTGGCATTTCAATTTGAGAAGTCTTGTCAATTGTTTTCTAAGAAGAGCACTGTAGCGTTATCCATCCAGCGTCCCTTACCGCCACATGTCTCCTCAGAGTGGACATGTCCGTGAAGCTACGGTCACAGGCTTTGCACTTGTAAGGCTTCTCTCCTGTGTGAATCCTCTGGTGACGCCGGAGAGCTCCCTGCTGAGTGAATGTCTTCCCACACTGCTCGCAGAAATAAGGACGAGTATCTGAAAAAAACATTAAAAGTCTCATTTGCAAGTTTTCAATAAAATCTTGATTTTATACAAATTAAATAAAGGGTTAAGATACTTAATTGGCCTAAGATTAGCCAGTTCCTGTTTTGATGCATGGGTTCAATGTTAATTCTTCACATAAAGTATTGACAATAGAAGTCTATTGCTTTAACATTTGTGTATAAAACACTGAACACAGCCACTCCTAATTACAATTGGTACTGTAATAACTGTTAATTGTCATCATTTTTAGATGTTTTACATGAAAAAATATTCAACCTACTGCAGCTGAGAATCATGTGGTACAGTTAAAAAATGGTATTATGTTTCATTTTTCTAACAAGGACATGTATAATGTTGAATGACTAAGGCATTTTCCTTACGTTAAGGAGATATTGAAGAACTGCTTGTTCAAGAACTTCAGAAAGAAAATGAAGTAACTGGTTTATACTTCATGGTGATGAGGGTGTCATGAGTTTTTTTTTTGTCTGTTCAAGACTTCATTAAATTTAAGCAAATATAGGGCAAAGAGCAATCGGCAAACAATTAATATATGAATCCAGAGTTAACTGTGGAATGTTACAAAGAAGCCGAAAGGCCTCACAACCATATTTACAGCCCGGTGACTTAGAATTTAAGAACATGAGAAATGGTAGAAATAGGACGATGCAAATCATCCAATTTCAATCTTGTTTCTAACATCTTACAGCCAGCCATTTCTTAAAAGCATCAGTTTAAAAGAGTGTTTATTTTTGCTACTGAGTGTGAAATATTTGTCTAGTTATCCCCATCTATACCCTTACATACTTGACTCCTATCCCCTGCAAACTTTATCATATATTTTTAACTAAATGCACACAATACTAACTTAATATTTTATTCAAAACTTTTATTCATTCTGAGGACTTCTAAAGGTAAGTTATATATGTTACAGTACATGTTAGCCAATAACTAAAGAAAAAATTAAATATGCTGATTACATATGAATTCAGACCCTTGAATTCAATATTTTGTGAAGCACCTTGTGCAGCAACTAATGCCAAACATTTTTAAATGTTAAGTTTCTATCAACTTTGCATGCTGGCTTATTACAATTTTTGCCCATTCTTTTTTGTAGGTTTCCTCAAGGTTTCTCAGGTTGCTTAGGGATTCATTATGGACAGAGGTCTTTTAATATTTCCAGAGATTCTCAATAGGAAAGTCAGGACTTTGAGCCACTCAAAGATGCTCACATTCTTATATTAATGCATTCCAGTGTTACCTTGTAGTTTGGAGCATTCTATTGTTTAGAACTTTCACCCAAATTTTAGGTCTTTAGTATACCAAAACAGATACTCCTATAGTACTATGCTCTATCCATTTTCCTTCAATCATAACATGCTTTCCAGTCCATGGGAAGGAGAAGCATCCCCATAGCATAATGCTGTCACTTCAACACTTGACTGTATGGATGGTGTTGACTGGATAATGTTCTATTTTGGGTAACATTTGGCATTTAGACAAAAACATTCCAGTTTGGTTCCAATTCAGTCTCAACTGACCACAACATGTTTTACCACAGTTTTTGCAGGATCACTCTGGTTTGTTGCAAACTCCATGCAGGCTTTGAGATGGATTATTTTTAGTAATGGCTTTCTTCTTGCCTGCTTACCATATACTGTAGACTATTTTTATTACATATTGTTGACTAATGTACATTTTTACCACTGAACTCAGCAGCACTTTCAAAGTTGTTGTTGGCCTAACCCCCATTTCCTTTTTAGCTCGTCAATTTGATGGAACAACCTGATCTAGACAGATTCTGTTTCTTGATGACTGAGGAGTATTCAGAGACTCTGATACTTTTGTGTGTCCTTCACTTGATTTTAAAGCTTCTTAGTTTTCACGGTTGAGCCCTTGTTTCAAATTCACTAGCTGACCAAGGAACCTCACAGAGTTAAATGCGATTCTGAAACAAGGAGAACTACTATTATAGCACAGCAGACAGAGGCCAGTCAACTATTTGTGTGGTTACTTAATTTGTAATTTGATTTTCCACATTTTTCTATCATAATATCTATTAACTTCCTTTTGTTATTTAATGTTTGAAGTAGCCTGTGTATGTGACACATATTAATTACTATTTTAAAATGGCATGACCTCATGCTTTGAAGAAACAAAATGTGAAAACTGTGCAAAGGTCTGAATATTTTTGTAAGGCATGTGTGTGCTGCATCATGTACTTTTGACCAGGTACTCCTACTACCAGCATGCATCACGTTGCACCTATGAATGTTACATTTTATTTAATGTGTTTACCCAATCCATAATACTATTTTTCCCCCTTTTTGCTATTAGTTTGTTCCTTACCCCTCCTATTTTCATATCATCTGTAAATTTAACTAGCCTTTTATTTTAAAGCGCAATGGGCCTAAACGAAATCACCAGGTCAGATCATGGCCTACATCCACCAATTTAGAAGTTGTGCCCTTAAATGACCTGTTCTCAAAACATGGGAATGCATTTCTGTGGACTCCTTTGCTTTTGAGAGTCAACCATTTATCAGGAATGAAATACCGTATGCAATGTTTTATGCCTTAGTGTTATCTACCAATTGACACCACTGAAAAAAAGGCTAAACAAACCTGAATGCACTCTGCTGTGCTGGACATAAGATGCACGAAGACCAAATGCTTTCCCACAGACTTCACACTTGTAAGGCTTGGCTCCCATGTGGCATCTTTTGTGACATTTTAGGTATTCATTCGTAGAAAAGCTCTTCTCACACACATCGCATTTATATAGTCGCTCACCTGCATAAATAACAGCAAGTATGTGTGTTGTTTAAAATACTTAGAACAAGTGCTGAGCACGTACTTAAATTGGTGTGTTCCTATTTTAAATAGAAATACACCAGTCTTAACATTTACTCTGTTTTTAATATTTTGATCGTACGGATTTTCAGTAGTTTCCAATAAACTTAGTTAAAATTAGCTTCAGTAAAGAAAAAATGTAACAAAATAAAAAGGAAAGTTGAATTATAACATTGCAATAAATCTCACTAAGGAAAGCATCACGCATGCAGTTTTAGTGTGGGACAACATTTTACACTTTTTTCTCTAAATCAATTTTCCTCAGTGCGATAGAGACGAGACGTGAAAACGGAGTTTGCTGAGGAAGGTAGAGAGGCAGTATGCTGGCTGTGAATGAGAATTTTACCTGTGTGAGTCCTACGATGGCCATTCAGCTTGCCTTTGTCAGAGAAACTGATACCACACACCTCACAAATATATGGCTTCTCTCCAGTGTGACACCTGTGTTCAAGGTGAAAACACAACTCATTAACAACTGTCACTCAATGTAAACGTTTAGAAAATTTCTAATTTTCACTTTGTTTAGTTACATAACTTATTACAGTGGGTTTACTTTAAATTATAGCTAATTGCTTATTCGTAACAGCACAATATTATGAGATGTGGATAGTCACAAACCACTGAATAGATCTGAATTTGGATTTTTAAAAACTACTCATAAAACTGAATTTTGGCTAAACAAATATATTGAAAATTCAATTAAATTTAACAGAAGATCTATTCTACATACTGATCACATTAAGGAGAATTTGTTCACAAAATTAGCAACTTAATTCTTGACAAAAGGTTCAACAAAATATCAGTTATGCTTAAACTGTAGCACTGTTACAGTAAATGTCATTTTGAAATAAGTTTAAATGGAAAAACAGTAACATACTCTCAATCCCTCAACTCTGAAGCAAAGACATTTCTGAGTGATTTTCATACCTTAACTATAGCGTGGAACATATATATGCATATAAAGTCATGCTAGGAAAAATGACATCTATTCTGAATATATCCTTTGTCATTGTAAACCTTACAAAATGGCAGCTATCACACATTCTTTAGAATTCTAATCAGTTCAAATACAAAAACCCTTCACTGCCAGAGTCACACAAAAGCTTTTAATATATGAAGGGAAAAAAAGTCCAACTGAATTCGAAACTAATAAGCACCTTAATACTTGGTCAGTCATCCCTGATTTACATCCTTATAAGTCTCACAAGGAATATCACAGTTAAAACAAAATATGGTAAAACCTCAAAAAATCACTTTTAAAACATGGAATATGAGGAAGGCACACCAAGGAAAAGTAAAGCAAAACCACTGTGAAAATTATGCAAATTATAGTGGTAAATGATCATAAGGGAACACAACCTGCAGGTTTTACATGGTGATGAACAGAACTAACCTCATGTGGATCTTGAGCTGCGATGGTTGAGCAAACCTGCTGTTACACACAGAACACTGGTATGGTTTCTCTCCAGTGTGAGTCCTCATGTGAAAGACGAGAGCTGTTCGGGAGCTCAGGATCTTCCCGCAGACGGAGCACAGCGGCCTCTTGACCCGGCCTTCATGTTTGCGCACATAGTGAGCGCGGACGTCCCTCTTACGCTTGAAGGTGGCACCGCAGAGGGTGCAAGCGAACTGGCGCTCCTCTGTGTGAACGCATGCCCGATGTTCCTTCCAGCAGCTGTAGTTGGCAAAGGACCTTCCACAGGTGTCACACTTGTAGAATTTCTCCGGTTGGCATTGATGAACCTCCAGGTAGTGAGCCACAAACCTCCTCCTCAGAGTGAACTGGCTTTCACATTTATCACATTTGATGACATACCGTTCTTTTTTGGATTTCAGGACCAGGGGCTCTGACTCTTTTTTCTGTTCCTCTTCACTGCTGTTCTCATCCTCCTTGTGATCTTCCTCGAAATCTGACCCAGAACAGGAAGGATCAACATCTTCTCTTTCATCATGATCATCATTTACATCACACTCACCATTTCCCCCTTCTATTAGTTCAGGTGGACTTTGATTTCCACTCTCTCCATCACCGTGGGCCCCATTTTTATACAACTTTACTGCATGTTCTGCAACACCTGTCCCCCTCACATCTGTCTGGCCGTCTGTTTTCCTCTCATGCTTACAGTGTAAATCAGTATCTTTTGTTGTATCTGCCTCCTTTATAGTACTCTCTTTTTGTGTAGATGGTGTACTACACTTTTCTTCAATACCAAGTGTCTCATTACTGCAGACAACAGTCTTCTTATCGGCTATGTCATAGATTTTTTCATCGTTTACAGGTTGTCCATCATCTTGTAAAATATTGGCTGATGCATCATCCTCATTTGAAAGAACATGTTTCCAGTAAACAGGTTTGGACTTCCGCTCTTTAGCACATAGATGAATTTTCCTGTAAGAAAATTAAAGACCTATAGTAGATCAGAATATTAAAACAAAGCAAATATTGCACGATCATCAAAATTTGAAATTGTTTTTATACCCCTGAATTTCCTATTATCAGTAATCTTGGTTTACAGTTATACATCTTTTTACCATTAAAGTTATTCATAAAAGATACTCAATTTACAGGTCGTAGGCATTTTGGCAAATGCATATGTCTGGATTAAGAATTGGTTTTAATCGAAAAATAGGTAATACAGATAGGATAATAGTCCAATCGGGGTTACATAATTAGTAGAGTATCACAGGTACTTGATCAATCATTATATCAATAATAAAGATTCTGTTATAGTTAGTAAAATAGTTAAGATAGATGCTGATACTAAAACAAAAGAGCCAGCAAATGCCGTAGAAGCAGAAAATGAAATTCAAAAAGATTCAGATAAAATTCAAGACTGGGCAAAATCCTAACAGCTGATGTTTAATACAGACAAGTGCAGAATAGTACATATAGGAAACATAAACCTTATTCTCTCTCTATATATATACATAAATATATGTGGATAGAGTCAATCTAGACTTAGGTGTGTATCTAGCGCACAACGTGACCTCGGTCTTAAATCATTTTTAGCTACTGACATGACTGGAGCCATTTTTGGGGCTCTGCGGCATACTGAACTTCCAACACATCATCCCACAGAGCTGTTTACCTCACATGTGTGTTGAAGGAAGATTTCTGCGCAAAGCTGGCAGCACAGTCTGTGCACTTGTATGGTTTCTCTCCTGTGTGAATTCTGATGTGGACGGTGAGTCCACCCTTTGAACTGATGGTTTTGTGACAGAAAGGACAGACCTGGGGCTTTCTCTTTTTCTCATGGACCCTCCTGGTGTGGTCGTTAATGTCTTTGGGGCGTTTGAATCTCTTGTCGCAAACGGTGCACGCAAACAGGCGTTCGTTGCTGTGGACCGTCATCCTGTGCTGCCGCAGGTTCTGATGGTTTGAAACTAGTTGGTTGCACATGTCGCAGCTGTACTTCACTAACACGCTGACCTTGTGCTCTCTGCTCATGTGCCTCTGGTACTGCTTCACAGAGTTAAATTCCTTACTGCATTTGTCGCAGACATAGGTTTCTTCATGCCACTTCAGCACCCTTCTGAGAGGCTTCCCGCCTGCACAGCTGGACTCCTTTTCCTCATGCTGTGGCTTTCTGACAACCAACCTTGTTTCCCACCCAACTGGGTCTTTCAAAGATGTTTTATTTTGGGAATCATCACACCCCTTCATGTCACTGTCCTTCTCTTTAATTTCTGCAGTGTGCGCAGATGGTTGTGAGACCATCTTACGGAGCTCCCCATCTTCTTTGAGCTTTGTGTCTGAGGCCTGGTCTAAGGATGAGCTCTTGGATCTCCAAAGAATACCTGGTGGAGATAAATCCGACTTGGTCCCTAAACACTGACCAGAAATGGAGCCCACACAAGCCTCAAGAAGATCACTGCAGTTTACCTTCTCTGCCACTTCTTTTAATCCCAGCAGTTTAGCTGGTGAAATCTCCACTCTAGCCGTGTAGATGAATTTCAGAAAGGCAGCAAAATCCTCAGTGCCGATATCATGCAATGTCACAGTGGTCATTTTGTCACCAGAGAGCTCCTCGCTTAGAAACAGCTCCCGGAAATAACTGCTGGAAGCTGCCAGGACAACTCTGTGGGCTGAAAACTCCTCATGGACGCCATTTTGTTCTGTATGTACAATCACATCACACAGATACCCAAACTCATATAGGGAATGGAGTGCAGTGAGCAGGTTAGCAGCCATGCCTTTGGATTCCATGGTGATTTTAATAGTCTCCATTCTGCCAAAAGAAGTACAAGAAATCCACAGGTTATTTAGGTTATTTACAAGGAAAATAAGATTTTTGACAATGCACCCTATTAATGACGTGAACATCTTCAAAACTATATACTAGGATTCCAAGTGACAGAATAAGTTCAATTAGTACAGCTTTCTTTTTTTAGTATACAGTCTGGTGTACTTGCATTCAGACTAAAAGCCCCATTCTTAATAATATATATTTTCTCCACTTCTGATAAATCAGAGATTTCTACAGAAATAAGAAATTGCATCCAGTGTTTTTAAACAAGTTCATTTTCTAAACTTTTTAAGACTCCGTTGCCACAATGAAAGTGTTAAAAGAGATATTACTGTAAAATAAATGCAGTTTAACAAAACATTTATCACATTTAACTAATTTATTACCTGTAATGGAGGGTACCATTTGAAGTGTGTGATGCTACAAGAGTCCATCTTACAACATCCTTTATCATTTTGGTTTTCACTCCTATTTTAAGTCCTTTTTATTTGGCAGAAACTAAATCTCTAGACTGAATGGATTTCTTAAATCAAAAAATGTCCTTAAGAATATTTTATAAAACAACAAAAGAAGAGCTATAATCAGCATTAAAACAATTTGGAACAGTAAGTAAAATATCACATGCCACAATAAACACAATAACCCTGAATGAACAGTGATGCTACTTATTATTTTAAAGGATTACACATAGTAACATAGTGAAGTCTGTCAAGAACTACTATTTCCAATTAATATTCAGATTTTTGTCCTGTTTTATTTTCACAACAACCATGTCCTTTTCACCTTATGAATTCTAGCCAGTAAATTGTAACATTAAGAGTAAAGAAGTTATTAAGATCATAAAGACAAGATCACGGACACTGTATTATACATACTGTATATACTGTATAATGTGCACCGTGTGTTGTGTGTATAGACTACCCGTGCAAACACACCTATACTGTATATATAGTAATATACTGCATTTTATGCAGCTGGATACACGTTAAAACAATTTGGAAAATCTAGTCGCAAGGCACCGAATAATACTAATTATTAGGTACCCCACGGAACTGTAAACTTCTGTAGTACTGCATTGTATGTCAACTTGTGCAGGTTAGTTTTTTGTCTGTCCCCTAATCAAAAACACAGTCCTTTCAAAATCATTGTTAAAATCCACACACTCTAGCGCATTATTTATATATATATAAAAGCTTTGCACAAAACTTACCCGTTTGTTATTCTAAGAATATCTTTCCTTTCATGAAAAGGAATGGAAAAATACACCCCTCGCTAAGTGGTGTTCAGTACCGCTAACGCGGTTCATCCACGCTTCATTACGGCACAGGATGTGAACGCATGGTCAGATTACATATGGTAAATTTCAGTCTCTTTACAGTAGTCTGGTTACGTTCAGCAGCGTCGATTTGTATGCATTTGGATGTGCAGAAATCCTGCTCAGCTGTTCACTGTAACCAAATGGCAAACGCAACCTGCCACAGTGTGACTGTGAAAGCAATCGAGGAGCCTTAATGCGACTGTAAGTGAAAGTGAAAACGCAGTGCAGCAAGGCCGCCACACACGGAAGATTTCCGGGGCAGCGTTGCTTTAATGTCCCTGTGTGGAAATGCTTGAGGCTGTGATTACAATCTAAACCTACATTTGCCGTATTCTCAGTCACCAATCAGAAATGAGCTAGTGAGAGGTCACAGAAGACATTTTTACGACGTTAGTAGTTGTGGCAGGCGGCATATTCGTATAGCAAACTGGTTTCACATAAGCCTTTGTGGATATAATGTTTCAATAAAGTTTTTATACGAAATAGTTATTTACGTAGTTTACTGTAGGATAGTAATATAACACACGGTTTTGGAACCTGTCCATTTTTACAATACTATTGATATTTACTTTACAGTTTACAATTTTTTTGAAGGGTTGTTTCACTAAGGCGAAACCTCACCATGGGCCATAAAGGTGTTTAATTCAGCTACGCTAACATTTTCCGAAACTCTCTTCGCAAGTGGTTGGAAACGGTGTTTGAAGGTATTCTCCGAATGCTGATGGAACACGTTTCCATCCTAAAACTAATACAATAATTATAATTGTTTTTAAAAAAATGTTGTTTTATAAGCCTTATACTAATTGATTTGAATCAAGTGAAAATGCTAGGTATAAAGGGTTTTTTAATATTGGGTTGGGTTTATATTAAATGAGTTGTATTTCACAAGTATTTTTATTTAGGACTGTACATTAGAAAATCATAAAGTATAAAAATATACTTTCAGTGTACTTTGCAACAAATCTATAGAGTCATTTTAAATTTCTAAAGGTTACGTTTTAATTAAAATGTTTAAAGAGTTTAACTATATTTTGCTTATTTTAAGTGACCACCAGATGGCGTGCAGGTTACACTAATTAGGGCAAACGCAAGTCAGTTTTTAAAATCAATTTATTTTTTAATACAAATATATTTGGGATAATAATACTAATAATACTACTAATAATAATTGCTTACACTTATGTAGTGCTTTTCTGGACACTCCACTCAAAGCGCTTTACAGGTAATGGGGACTCCCCTCCACCACCACCACCAATGTGCAGCATCCACCTATATATATAATATATAATTTACTTTCTTTTTTCTTAGACCATAAAGGTGTACAGTTAATGTTTTAGAATCTTGAACAAACAGAAGACCTTTATAAGATCACCCCACTTCTTATTTCTAGACAGACAAGTTCAGATGTATTGTTAATTCTGTTTTGACAGGTGAATGGCTTATCTATTATTTTGTATGAAATAATAAATCAATTTTTATTTATTATTTCATACAACAATCCACAAAGTTTTGGGAATGCCCACTGTTTTTTTCATTAGTTTTCATATTGTTAACCACAGGGCTTTATCATTAACATATTTCATTTGTAAATTTTAATCTTAGAGCTCTGGCATCAGCTCAATCAGAGTTGAGTGAGATTACTTTAATCAGCAGAAACTCAGTGACATTTCAGATAGTTGAACAAGTTTCTTAAGGAATTATCTTTGATCCTTGGCAAATTCAAAATCCTTCTGTGCATGATTAAACCCTTTTTTCAGCAAGGCACACATCATACAGTAGAACAGATCTGATTCTAATTTCTATTGATTTTGTCCAGATACTAAAAGGGCTAAATGCTGTAGTTTTATTTCTCTATTAATGATGCAGTGTTTGAAGCAGCAGCTAAATGAGGAGCAAGAGGAGTTTTTAGAACTGAAAACTGAATTTCCTGGACATTAACTTCCCACATGATCCTATAGCGTGATATTGCCAGCAGCCATATCACCCTACAACTCACACCTGGCAACCTACTGAAGCTCAGCAGGTGTGAGCCTGGTCAGTACCAGGGGAGACCTCCTGGGAAAAACTAAGGTTGCTGCTGGAAGAGGTGTTAGTGGGGCCAGCAGGGGGTGCTCACCCTGCAGCTCATGAGGGTCCTAATGCCCCAGTATAGTGATGGGGACACTATACTGTAAACAGGCGCCGTCCTTTGGATGAGACGTAAAACCGAGGTCCTGACTCTCTGTGGTCATTAAAAATCCCAGGGCGTTTCTCGAAAAGAGGCCAAATTTCCCATTGGCCTTTATCAATCATGGCCTCCTAACAATCCCCCTTTATGAATTGGCTTCATTACTCTGCTCTCCTCCCCACTGATAGCTGATGTGTGGTGAGCGTTCTGGCGCACTATGGCTGCCGTCGGATCATCAAGGTGGATGCTGCACATTGGTGGTGGTGGAGGGGAGTCCCCATTACCTGTAAAGTGCTTTGAGTGGAGTGTCCAGAAAAGCGCTATATAAGTGTAAGCAATTATTCTTATTATAAATCTACTGAAATAAGTGCCACTCTTTATTAGAATTCTACATTTACAACCTTTTCATTATTTATTATACACCAAGCGTACAGTATATATGTAATATGAATGCTTATCTTTAGAATTAATATAATTCAAAAGGAACATTGATAATTATTGAGCTTTTATGCATGGCCTGGAAAATGAAATATAAAAACGTATTTTTTTCTCCTGTAAAAATAATACCACCTTTTAATCTCCAAATAATAAGTACAAAATATATTTGTTGTTATTTCTTTCATCAATAATTTTCACTAGAAGCAAAATGTTTTGTAGAGCAAAAAGCTTAGACAAATTTCAGTGGTAATCTAGACATTGCAAACACCTAGCAGATGGTTTAATGTAGGGAATGCAGTAGGTTGCAGGTAGTAAACACATAAACTATAAATACAAACTGGGAAAAGCTAATCAAGAGGAGACTACTTCTGAAAAAGTTGTAGGTGTTTATTTTGACATCATTTACATCTTCTAGCTGCGGGAAAGCAAAAAAAAGGTAAACAAAATGTTGAGATATGCAGTTAAAACCACCTAACTTAAATCAAGAGATATTATGCTTAATTGTATAATGTGCCAGTAAGTCCTCATTTTAGAATATTGTGTACAATGCTGATCATCATGTTATAGAAAAGGCTTTGCCTATCTGGAATCAGTCCAGAGAAGAGCAATCACAAAAATCTTGGGGCTATAGGAAATGTCCTGACAGACTGAAGGAACTGTTTTAGTCCTGAGGAGTATGACTACAAGGAGGCCTGAGAGAAGTATTCAAAACTCTCAAAGGCTCTGACGAAGTCATTCCAGTGGACTTCTTCGATATCAACAATGAAACAGAAACCAAATGACACAAGAGGAAGCTATGTGAAAGTGTATTGAAAACCGAGAACAGAAGGTCATGCTGTTGAAGACGATACCTTGGCTTGTTTCAAGAAATGACTCGATTCAATCCTTGGATCAATTAGCTGCTAACTTCCAAATAAGAAAAATAGGCCAAATGGACTCTCTTTTGCAATTGTTCTTAAAGTCACTCCATTGATTGCTACTGTAATTTTCTCAAAAGTGATTTATACTGTTTATCACACCAATGCAGGTGATGTTAGATGTATAGGCAATATAAAATGAGTATTGTACAGTATTTGGGGGAATACAGTAAACCCAAATGTTTGCCCCATTCACTGTCTTTAGCGATCATCTTTCACTCACAGCATATATGTTTTCTACAAAACAACCTGGTTACATTGCTGGTGGTGAATCCCATAATATGTTATTTGTCTGACAGTCTGTTTCCACATTCTACTACCAGTCAATAAGTCAATCATCCCTACCTGGGCTTCATACTCCTGCGCAGCTGCACTGAAGTTAGGGCAAATCACTACTTGTCTTTGCCCCAGTAGCATATACAGGTTCTGCATCACCTCTACATATACATTTTTCTGTGACGTTCTTTAAAACGGCATCATAATTTTAAGATTTCAGTGTTAGAAAGAATGAGAATTGATGAATGTATTTTAAATAACAATGAAAGTAAAATGTGCACAGTAATATGTAAAACCTCCAATATACAACACAAACTAGACCAAATTCCCAGGTACTGTATGCGCAGCAACATAGGAAAAGAAACGTCTGCAGTGAAATGTCAGCTGTGAAAACTGTACTTATTCATTCGTACATCACATTACATTAGTCATTACAGTGACTAGTGAGCAGGAAGGGCCGCCTCACATCACAATTCTCACAAACTCTTGACAACATGGCGACTATACAGTACAGTACTTTCACAAAGTTCATGATTTCGTGTTTAATTCAGAAGTAGTACAATTTTGTGATGGCACTAGGTGGTGCTATTTTATTTTAGCACAGTGCATCTCAACCGCCTGTGGACCATTGCTGGTCCCTGAAGCAATGCTGTCCAATCCTTAATGGGTCCTTACAGACAGCCAGACAGGCATCATAATGAGTGAACGTGATTTTTTTTCTTACATTTGTTTTTAGCCTAACTGGTTCTCAAATAAGGAGCACCTTATGGAGCTGGTCCCAGGTACACAATATTGAAAAACACTGATACTGTGACCTCCAGATTTATTCATACCCCAGGTGAAATAGGAACAAAATACATCAAAAAACAGAAATGTTAACAGATTAGATAGTGCCCAGACTGGAACTTAATAACATTGCACAGAGCAAAGTCAAATTTGTCATATATTATTTTAGGCTGAGGAATAATTTTTGCTAGATAGTATCTTCAATTGAGGAGGCTTTAAAGATAGAAGACATGATTCTGTCATTATTACCATCTCCTCTGGCTGAAAGGCTGGGAAATATCACAGGAAACAGGAACATCACATCTATGATCTATACACTGTTCCCCTCCCTGGATAAATAGATTTCTATCTCAAAGGATACATGGGAAAGGGATTTAAATTACACCTCTGAAAGTGTTATTTGAAAATCTATCATTTTAAATATATTCTCATTTTCTCGTAATACTAAAATCCGGGTTATTCAATATAAATTAGTACATGGATTTTCATTTTATAGTTTAAAGATTGTTCTCTATGGACAGAATAAAATCCAGTATACTCTGCTCAGTATGTAGTGGATAGCTACATAAATGCTTTCTGCTATTTCTCAACAATTATTCAGTTTTGGAAGAAAATACTACTTTCTATATCTGTAATTTTAGACTTCAAAATTCCCATCTCCCCAGCCATTTTGTTTAATTGTTTAACGTATTATCTGTTGTA